TAGCGCTCGCCCGCGGTCTCCGCCTTCTCGATGCCCGCGAAGGTGAACGGCCGCGACGTCGGCCGCCGAGCAGAGCCCAAACGCCAACGGAATGACCTTGCCGCTGAGCATCATCTTCAGGTAGCCCATCGTCGACGACACGCTCTGGCCCTCGAGCACCGGGCCGAGGACGACGGCGGGGTGGACAGTCGTGACGCTGAACTTTTCCTTGTGCGCCTCGGCCAGCTCCCAAACCTTGGCCTCCGCCGCCGTCTTCGACTTGCTGTAGCCGGTTTCCGGGTTGTCATTCTTGTCGGCCTCGCACCCATAGGTGGTCGGGGTCCTTGTCACGCTGAGTACCGCAGACCGAAGCCATCGTCGCCGTTACGACGACACGTTGCACAGAGCCCGACGCGGCTGCAAAGCGAAGAGCACGCTCGGTGCCGGACACAGCCTGCTCAATAATCTGGTCGTCGGACAATGCTCCATCGCCCGGAAGCTGCACGGGCGATGCGACGTGCATGAGTCCGACGCACCCGTCCATTGCGGCCAACCAGCCCTCGTCGCTCAGGAGGTCTGGCACACGCACGAGCGAGCAGCCCATCTTCTCTAGAAATTTGACCTTGTCGGCCGAGGTGTCACGGACTGCCGCGCGCACCGAGTAACCACTCTTGCACAGCAGGCTGCACACATGGCCGCCGACCAGCCCGCTCGCGCCGGTGACAAGCACTGCTCCAGACGCTGGCGACAAGTTCGGCATGGCCTGGGTCGCCAAAGCGCGGTGCGAACTTTTTGCGGATACAATAGGAGCGCACAGGTGAAACGCGTTGCTGGGACCTACGAGTAGCGTGGCCGACGTGTTGCCAGACGAGGACTGCCCTGGACCGATTTACGCCCCGGCGGGGATGGATTTGCGGGTTTCCCCGTGCCGCGAGACTTGGGCATGTATCTCCCGCGATGTGTCGCGGACAAACCCAAGTAGACGCCCCTTGGGCGGGATCGCGTCTTACTTACACAAGAGGAACTATATACAACACATCGCTAGTCATGTACAATAATGAGAACTGTGGAGATATGAGGATTGTCGAGATGTCATGCGAGAGCGGTAGGTGGGCGAAGGTAGCGCGGCTGGAGAGTGGTGTCCGAGGGACAATGATGAGTTGTCAGTTGGGGCGCGAGACGCGCGGGACAGTGTCGAAGGCGGCCAGTGAGGTAGGGTTGGCTTTGAGCAGTGCAGCGAGTGTGTAGTCAAGCGTGGGAGCGGGGCGCGCGAGCACCGGATTTTTTTGCTGTGCGAGTCGAGTTCGTGGCCGGTGCGCGGGAGATGAGTTGTCAGTTGGGGCGCGAGACGCGCGGGACAGTGTTGGAGGCGGCCAGTGAGGTAGGGTTGGCTTTGAGCAGTGCAGCGAGTGTGTGGTCAAGCGTGGGAGCAGCGCGCGAGCACCGGGTTTTTTTGCTGTGCGAGTCGAGTTTGTGGCCGGTGCGCGGGAACCTGGCTGAAAACCCGCGCATCCGGCCGGTTGTGCGACCGAGGTCGCCGATTGTACGACCGAGGTCGCAGAGCCTTGGCGACGCGACGCGCACGTCGCCAAGGAGTTGGTAAAATGTCCCGAGGTTTTTTATTAGCTAACGAAACACA